AATGGATTTCGGTTTGCTTTGTATGATTTAACATAGCACTGCGTCTATTATCCGTACCGCATCGCATCAAGACAAAATTCGTTTAATCCGTACGTGCGGTGCGTTTGCGCGGAACAATGGACGCGTACTTTCAGTTTAATTTGAAAAGTGAAGTTTGGTCATAATTTCAGTACTCTTTCCCTTCCCTTATTTGCAGAAGAAATACTTTCATCACCCTACCATGGTTTCCTTTTTAATGTTTTTACGAAGAACTCTTCAACAGCCGTATCTTTAAATTTATTACTTTGAATGAATAATTTTAATAATAAAATCTCATATACAGTTTTAAACGTAAGGTTACAAAAATATACCATGATATAAACAAACATTAAACGTTCCTGTAACGAATTCAGTAACTTCCTATTTAGAATGATTCACGCGTCGATCTAATAATATTTTACATAGTTCAAATATTACTTTGATGCGATGCCAGGAATCAATGGAGTTCTCGTTAAAGAACACTCACGAACACGAGGAGTACCAAATAAGTGATATACTGAACGAGTAAGTACTTTCGACACAGACACTTCGTAGTATAGTGTCTATTTGTATTTCTATTCGTTATTATAGATACTAAACAATGTAGAGTCTGCAACTACTACGTGATTCTTCTCGACATCATAGACCCTTTTTTATAACAGCCGGGGACAAACAAGCAGCGGGAACACCGAGATGTTCAACGACGCCCATGGACATCAGCAACCACAGATGCGATGCCGGCCTTTGAGATGGTGATTCGCTCGTTTCTTAAAGGACCCTAAGTCGTAGCGGTTTGGAAATACCGCCGAGGACAGACCATTCCACAACGCTACTGTGCAAGGCAGGAAGTTTCGCGCAAACCGCACGGTTGCCAGCCATCGTATTAATCATACACCCTACGTAGTGTCTTTTATATTGAATAGAAGCAAAGATTAAAAAACAAATCTGGATTTTAACAGTTTTTTAAAACGATGTTCTTCAATGGGTTCCTCGCTCATTGTATTAATATATAATACATTGAAACTGAAAAAGCAACGAAATGTCTCAAAAACTGACATCTATATACTGAGTGTTATATATATTTTTTATACTTTTAATTAGTTATATTTTTTATTTCTAGACGTGGCATTACACATAACACGGGTAAGGATTTTCCTTCGCTTCTTATCTTTTTAATAAGTCAACAATTTGCAGTAATCCAACCAATTAAACTAATACGATTGTTATCTACTGAATGTCAGGAGTTGTCGTTTGAATTAACTTTACATAGACTAGCTGTCGCCCGCGATTTCGTACGCGCGGGATTAAGAAATATATAGTAGCCATTTCTCAGATATATAAAATTTTATAAAAATAGGTCAAGCTGTTTCGAAGTTGTATGGGAACCAACATTATGACACTAGAATTGTATATATAAGACACTAGCTGTCCCCCGCGACTCCGTCCGCATAGGATTAAAAACAAACTTAATAAGTAGCCTATGTGTTTTTCCAGACTATGTTCAACATCTATAACAAACTTCAGCGAATTCCATGCAGAAGTTCAGGAGATGCCTTCAAAAAAACATCTATCCATACATCCAAACATTCGTATTTATAATATAAGTAAGAAGTAAAATATGTATTTATTATGTTTGCTGTTGCATCCTACACAAGTAATCTTTCAAAATTAAATACTTAGTCATAAGGCAAAATTTACTTCTCAGGAGAAGGGAAACTTGGAGGATATTTGTGCGCCCTTCCTCTGTCGATTAAATGTAGGCAACGCATCTGTAAATGCGAATAATAATTGCGATGGCCGCTTGCTCGTCTGTCACCTTTTATTACAAAAGAAAAGTAATATGTTTTGTACAGGTATTGCGGCAATAAAAACCGATAATAATTAACATTTTTCAGTAGTTTTTCTCACCTATAATAAAATGTTTTTGTCCAAATTTTCAGATAACCGGATTCAGAACTTTTTGTCTCCGTTTTTTTTACTCGTTCCAAACTAATGACGTTTATAAATCCTGAATATTTTACGGAGGTGAAATTCAATTCAATTTATTTGTTTCAAAAGCCACTACTTTTAAGATTTAGTCTCATGAACATCTTATCAAAATTTTTGGATTACTTTTGTTTACAAGTCAATGCTAACAAACATACAAAATACTAACTGTCGCCTGCGACTCCGTCCGCGCGGTATTATAAAATAGATAGTAGCCGAATCTCCGACCAACTCAATATGCTCACAAAATTTCATGAGAATCGGTCAAGCCGTTTCGGATGAGTATGGGAACGAAAATTGTGACACGAAAATTTTATAAATATATAAGATTACTCCGAACGACTAATTAATACAAATGACTAATTAAATACTTTGTCAATTTAGGACTGGTTTATTTGAATTTAAAATATTAATTTTTAATTTTAATACCTGCGATATGTTACATTTCATACTACGATAAAACAAAAACAAATTTTTAAAATAAAAAAAAAAATAAAATAATAGAAATAAAAGTTTTTTTTTTAATGAAAAATATTAATATTATAAAAGAAATAAATATCCAGTACTCACCTAAAAATCACTTTGTATTTAAAATGTCACATCACTTAGACACGAGATAAAAAAACTTTATCACATAACAAATACACTAAAACACTACTGTAATCAAACCTAATTAAAACGAACAGGAATTACAAAACAGAATAACTCTGTAATTGTCTGTATATCTTTAAATTTATTTAATAATTTTTATCTTTTATTTTTTTTCTAATCGTAATCGAATACGCGACGCGACGCGACGCAGCGCGTGCGTTTGGCTGAATAGTTGACGGCAAAAAGCCACGAAGCCTACGCCACCGCGACTTAAATACTTCGCGCCCTTAGTACACAAACAATAATTTTTAATTACACCAATTATTAATTCTAGTTAGTACGAGATTTCTGCCAGTTTCAAGACGGCCGTTGTGAGTCGGCGCTGAAATTTGACTTGGTTTTTGCAGTGGCAAGTTTCGGTGTTTATTTTTAGGTCCGATACCAAATATTATTTACCGCGTTGAAGTGAATTGCTTGTAAAATAGAATCGTATTAAGATAGGCGTATAACGGATTAGGTAAGCAAATATCTGCTCAATTATCCTGTAAAATATGACAAATTATTCGTAACTAAGAGGAAAAATCTATTTATTTTACTTTTAACTTGATAAAATAAAATTAACCTATATAGTTTTAAGATATGCAAGAGTTTTTTTTAAATAAAGAGGATTCAATTGACTACATTTTTATAAATATGACATAGAAACATTATTAAAATCAAATTATAACCTCTCATATTTTTCTTTTAATAGATAACAGTATGTTCTTGAATATGTTTCGGCATTGGAAACACGGGATTCACCCTGAGCCAGAAAGAAGCGACTAATACCGGTCGACTGATTGTTTAGTCGTTTATTCGCTTATTTTAACACATTAATGATGTATACTTGACTAATTTCCTTGTATCACGTCGAACATACACGAGTAATGATTGATGTTTTAACTTGTTAGTTCTGTAAAGAAATTATTTAAATAAGCTACTGAAGATAAATTCGCAAATACATATACCAGGACCAGGGGTGATTAGATTTAATACTTTCAAATGACGCGCCTGTGCGATCTACCAATTACATATATCTTGAAATCTTATAGTAAATGAAACATAATTCGGTATGTATTTTTTATTAGATTATATTTTATTTTATTAAAAGAGAAAAGAAACACAAATATTTTGCTGACAATTCTTAGTAACTAATCATTTAGTTTGTATACTGTATGCTTTAAGTTTGAATATTTTCTCTTCCGCTAAGCTAAGTTATACGAAATTATATTTTGGCTTCTCCATGATGGGTTGGACGTATAGTTGCAATCGGTTGGCCACCCCTGCTGTACACTATTCCCAATGCATATAACGAAACCTGTATTATAAGAGAAGCCTACTATTTACACTACTTATAATTTCCTCTGATAAAACAGCTAATGTAGACTATGGAAGAGCAGTAGAAAATCTGACGTATATGACAAATTGTAGGGAAGAGGGCATTGATATTTGTGATTGTAAATAACTTTGGCATTTACTAATATAACAGTAAAGGCATTTTTAAAGACTTATTCATATAACATTTATAAGCAAGCATTAATTTGGAAGTTTTTAAAGTTACGTTTTTATAGCAGGCAATTTTTACAGCGTTCTACAAAACACTACAAACTCCGGTACAGCTTTAAATAAGCTAGTATAAATACAGTAAATTAGTTTAAATCTCTTAAAGGTTGTTCCCTTGTACCTTTTACATAACTTATTAGTCTTAAAGTTGACTTATTTATCCATTGAATAGCAAATATGTTTTATAATTTAAAACAACAACTAAAATAAGCAAAAAATTATCACCTTTGTTAAAGGGAGGAGCAGTGTCGTTATATATTTTATTAGTAATGTTAGGAAGAAAATCCGACACTGTGCCGGTGTATCGGCGCAATACTAGCTTTATTAAAATATCAACGTTTATGTCACCTCACTAATCAATCGGATACTTGACTTTGTAACGAAAACGCGTCATTCGCTTTAAATGATTCTAACTAATAATGTCTAAAAGTATTTACATTTTTTATACTTAACAAATTCTTGTTAGAATTGCCTAAAACATAGACATTTACATTCTACAATTTTTCTTATTTCAGTTATTAAAAGCTGTCGCCCGCGACTCCGTCCGCGCGTAATAAAAAAATGAGTAAAAGTAACCTATGTATATTTCCACACTATGTGCCAAATTTCATCAAGATCTGTTAAGTCGTACCGGAGATACCTTTAAACAAACATCCATCCATTCTTCTTCGTCGTTACAGTCTTTTCAGACTGGTCATGGTCATCATCCATCCATATATACATGCATTTACAATATTAGTAAGAAATAAGATAGTTAAGAAAAGACAATGGAAGTCGTTTTATGTTTTATACAAGTGCTTTTGTAATGAAAACTCACAGTTAGATAATCAAGTAACCAAGACGTAAAGACTATGTGTACTCAGATATAGTTTGCTATAATTATACGCCCACTATTGCCGCTGGAAACTAGGGTTATTATCCGTTGCAGTCACTTAAAAATCATTATTGATCCATAATTATTAGTATTAAATAAATACAGACACGAGTTATTCAAACAAATTGGAACTTCCAACTAGATTGAATGAAAGTTGTTTACATTTATAGAGAACTAGCTGAAGCACGTGACTCCGTCCGCTCGGAATTAAAATAAACAAATTAGTAGCCTATGTATTCTTCCAGACTTTGTTCTAAATGTATGTCAAATTATAAATAGATACCATCCATCTAAACAATCGCATTTATAATATTTATTAGAAGTAAGATTATAAACAAGCAGGAGTTGCCTGTAGCTTCGTCCGCAATTTTTTGTTTTTTTTTTTCAAGGAAAGGAAAAATTCAAGAGCTCACACAAATAATTTTCTAAGAAGTTTTCGAACTATGTAGAAGTTTTCATCTCTACGTATTTCTTCCAACAGAACACGTGGGCACGTGGATTCAAGTAGCAACTTCGAATACTAAGAAATAGTTAAAGTTTTAAGAGGACAATTAAGGTGTCCGGCGTTTAGGAGCACGTGCCTGGTGATTAACCTACTCCCTTACTATATACGTAGTTTATAAAACTGAATACATTAATGATCCTTAAACTTTTTAATTAATTTTATTAAATATAATAAAGCTAATTCTTGTGTTAACGATGGTTCCCCGAAACTGCTACAGCAGCTGCCACTTGCCTTATGTTTTTTTTTAAATCTTAATCAGCAAGTATTACTTTGCAAACAGCAGATCTAAATGTAGTGAAACAGGCGTAGTTTTTAGATCGTTAAGCAAGGCTAAAATCGCTTTTTTATTCGCCTGATTATAGTATAGGGATAGCGAACCAATGGCACTATATTTTTGGGCACAAAATTCATTCAAAAATATTAAGTAGTTATTATATGAGGAGCGAAACCTAGTGGTCGGTAGAAACAACGACATGTTTACAACGATGGCTTAGTCCAAAGAGTAAAATTTTTTTAGAAAAATGGCATGTTGGTACGAAATGGTTCGTAATACATTTTAAAGCATAATATATTATTTCACACAACTTTATTAATCGTTAAATACTCTGTGCATATTATAAAAGTGATACACAGAATAATTAAAACATATGAGAAGATATATCATAGTAATATATTTGTATAGCCACGAATATTGTCCTTACTTATCGTATTACATGTACAAAAGTTAATTAATAGACATGAGAATCAATTTGTGACATGGCCGCCTGGTGGCGACGTCCTCCGATGAAGTCAGTGGCTCCAAGGAACCGCCATCAACCAGATACATTAGCATTTGGCTAAAGTAGCCACAATGAACGTGTAATTAATACTTCTTGCAACATACATTTTTGTTAAGATCCAGAATATACTTTATGTTATTCTTTCTAGCTAACTTGACAAACTATTTAGTGACATTTTTTGTTATTTATGCCTATCTGCTATAAAGATATAAAATCTTTAGTCGCAATACTATCTATAATATGATATTATTTCATATTTCAATTTATGCTCCAACTAGTAGATTTATTTACCAAAAAATTTTATGTGTAATCTTTCTAGTCTAATCTAATTTCTAACTACTATATAAATGCGAATGTTTGGATGGATGGACAAGGTATCTCCGGTACGGATCTTAGTGGAATTTGGCACAGATGTAGAACATAGTCTGGAAGAACACATGAGATACTTATTAAGTTTATTTTAATACCGCGCGGACGGAGTCGCGGAAACATATATTTAACTTATTTGTTAAAAGTTTACGAACCGAACATGTTGATTGATGTTAACTTAACCAAATCTTTGGGGACAAAAAGCTACTTTACAAACTAACAAACTATTGAAAACTGTGTTTCCTTTTGGCTTGTTTGCTCTCTCAATATCTGAATGAACAAACTAAAAAAACGCTTACTTAATATGTCTAGAGGTGATATCAATATTTGCCGAGGTATAATTCGGAACAATTCGCAAATCCATTTAGGGCCCTGTTCAAAACATAGGGCCGCCCGATAAGGTCGTTGTACAAATTAACACCTTCGGTACACAGCCGCGAAAGCTAACAGGAATCGAAGCGAATCAGAAATCGTATTTTATGTGAGACGGAATGAAGACGGTCGAAATCAAAACTAATATACAGCAAATTAAGGCTTCTGTAGTTTTTCTAATGTTGTTCTGCTTCTTATCGCTTTTACAGCTTGCTAATAGATGGATGTACGGATATTTGTTTGATGGTATCTCCAAAACAGCTGAACGGATCTTGATGAACTTTTTTATACATACATTCCGCGCGGACGGAGTCGCGGGCGACAGCTAGTTATGAAATAAAAATATTGTAATGAATTATATATAAGCTTTATGCTTGGCTTCCCTTTAGCTTGTACGTTTGTGTGTTACAGGCATTGATGCGACCAATTCCTGATCGCGTCGATTGACATCGGCTGGGGTCGGATCTCGCCAGTTATGACCGCCTATAACCAATCCCGTTGCCAGTATCATTGAGCGTGATGCACTTCTCTTGATGCTTAATTATGTACCGTTATCCTTTTTTTGTTTCGTCATTTCGTTCTTGGAATCCTTATGATCACTTGAGTGATTGAGGGGTCAACAATCGAAGTACATTTTTGCAATATTTTAAATGATTACACTATGTTTTTTTTTGCTTTAAGCTTTTTATGTAAGCGCGATTGATAAACTGCGCAATCAATAGGTTCACCATCAATTTACTTCCGTATTAACTTAATACTTAAAACGATCTAAAAACTCCTATTTGTTTATAATTTAACAATTGCCCGCCAACCGGCAAAGTTCATTTAAAAACTTAACTCAAGATTTCGACAAAAGCGTCATCTTTGTATTGCAACCAGTTATTGAACTGAAATAAAATGTTAATGCTTATTCCTTTCAATTGAAAACAGATGGCGCTAACAGATAATACGCGACTCAGTCTGCGCGAATTTAAAATAAACATAGTAGCATGTGTCCTTCCAAACTTGGTTCTATATCTATGCAAAATTTCAGAAAGATCTGTTAAGCAATTCCGTGGATGCCTTCAGACATCCATCCATCTATCAAAATATTCCCATTTATAATACTAGTAAGATTTACCCATTACCAACAATAGACCAAAAAGTGTCAACAAATGATGCATGCTTAATTTACAAGTATTTTTATCATAAATATGGTCTAAACTAATGTATCTATTTTTACTTGCCTATCATGACCACATTTAAAGTCAAATCTGCTTCTTATCTTTTTAAATTGTGTTCTATTAAATATTTCAATATTACACTTCAAATCAATGTAAACAATATTATATGTTAGCAAGGTTCTTATACATAAAATAAAACAAAGTAAATTTTATTTACACAAGAAATTTATTGTATCCTTGTGCAAAGTTTTTCCACTTAACCTAGAAAATGACAGTCAAGTAGTTCTACTTGAGAGGAATGAACCTGGAACTGTGCGTTGCACCGATACCAGGCCTACCGTGCTTTACTGGCTTGTACGTAACTGAGAACTCGCCAAGGTAGTGTCCAATCATTTCTGGCTTGATTTCAACCTGGAAGAAAAGATGCCAATTTTATGGTGGGTCGTAGTTAGCTATGATACCATGTCTACACAGACAAGTGCTCTGTTACTGTGGATGGAATAAAGAGCGCTTATGGGTTCGAAATGGTTGAAAGGCCTTATAACCCTTAACCACAGCACTAATACCTAAAACCTGTACAAAACTTCATGGTAAGTAAAGGAAAACACTAATAAACTGCATATTTGCACTAAAACTTGTAACTACCAGTATATTTTTTTCAATAATTACATTTATGGTTCCTACAAAGACTATAGTAATCCATTGTTTAATTTTTCCCCTGTTTTGAGTTTTTTAAATGAACTTGAAAAACATTCATATCTGTTTTGTCTACTGCATGTTCATGATTTTAGCATCATAATTATTTATATTATTATAAATTATTAATGACATAGATTGCTTGACAGTGTTGTAGTTAAAAATGATTAAGAAATCTCAAGAATCATCAAAAGTCCAGGCTTATTTATACTAACCTGGTTGAATGTTTTTCCATTGTAAATGCCTACAATTGAGCCAACCATCTCTGGAACGATGATCATGTTACGCAGATGTGTCTTAACGATTTCAGGCTTCTCATTTGGAGGTGCTTCCTTCTTCGCGCGACGTAGCTTTTTAACCAACGCCATTGGCTTGCGTTTAAGACCACGAGCAAACCGCCGGCGAGCGCGAGCGTGCATCAACTCCATGAGTTGCTCACTGAAAATAACATTAAATGGTACGTGAATTACAAAAACATATAAAATAACAGTATAATTTTGAATTAGACAAGCCAAGTTAGGACATAACCAAAAAAAAGTCTAAAAGAACAAATCTACTAAATGTTAGATATTTAAAAGTTTGAAACTTACTTGGGCATATCAAGAAGTTGATCGAGATCGACCCCTCGGAAGGTAAACTTCCTGAAGGTACGTTTCTTCTTGAGAGTTTCATCAACCTGGAAATTGTAATCATAATGTCACCGATAATGTTTACGTAAATAGTCCGAAAATAAATGTCTATTTCACACAATTGTTTTATAAATATTAGGTCATTGTGCTTAATTCAATTTCTTTTTGAACGATTGCACCAGTATTTAAAGATTTTAACACATAAATTTAATCACAAACCTCAGCCATGTTTTAGTCCGTTTGACAGAACAAAAAGAAAGAACTGTCAAAATCAAAAAGCTTTAAACATTTGACATTTGAATGACTGTCAAAACCATAGAGAAATAAACTCTATAAGCAATAGCAAATAAAAGACATAGAAAAGGATAAAAAATAAATGCAAAAATGATTAAAGTGGAAACATTCTTCCAGTCTACCTTAACATGGTTTTGTAAATAATCAGTGATATAAGTATAAAATATCCAGCATCAGTTAAGGTCGAATCTAATTAACCAGTACAAACAAATAATATCGCGAACTGGCCTAAATATATCAAAACATTATCCAACCAAGGATAGGAATGACGGTCGTACTTAGGAAAGTTCTGACTCACAGTTAACATTTTGTGAATTAATCCAGTATTATTAAACAAAAATAACAAAACTTCACTAAACGCAAAAAAAAATATTTAATTTGATCATGATAAAATGTAGTCTTAATAGGTGTGGAAAAATTAAATTTGTTTGGTTATAAAAAAATTCTTTAATAAAATATTAACTATCCTATATTACATTTTGTACATATGTACAGATCTTCTTATGTATTACGTTGTGACGTCACAGATTAATTTATGCTAAACTTATTCAAGTGTACATTGATCAGTAGACTTAAGTAATTTAGACAATCTCTTACCAATTAACTTAGGATAGGTTTTAGTTTTGATTAAATACTCTTTAGATTGATGGGTCACAGCACCGTTTTCCAATTGGTACTTACAAAGCATATGTAAAGGTTGTATTAGTTGTTCACTATAGATGGAATTATTTTCTAATTGTGACAAAGCTTCCGCAGCTGTCTCCAAAGTACTTAGGCAACCTTCCGTGGGTTGTGTTCTGATAATATAACTACTAGAGTTATTTGTTACAAGTTTGACTTGTTTTATTTTTTGTAAAAGTGGACTAGATGCATATATGGCTTTTGCTTGTGGCCATGTACTGTCAATTAGAATAATATTGTAATAATCATTTTCACATTTAAAATGTTTTATATCAGCGGCACTTGTACTTGGATACAGCAGTAGAGTATTAGGTTGATTGAGAATATTTTCTAAATTTTCATGTTTCGGTTGTGGAAATTTTTTTCCTTTATAAATAAGGCACTTATTTTCTGCTAAACCCAATTGTAACATTGGGGCTGTGCGCAAACATCTCTTTTCTTCAGCAGGATGTTGGAGAAGTATGACATTACTCCGTGGATTTAACCTTTGGGGTGGTAGAGCTGAACACCAACAAACCACCTTTGGCCTTCTGAAATTTGACATACACAAATAATTAGTATTGTTTTTTTATTGAAATAGAATTGAAAGTTTAAGACTTGTGTTACGTATTTTTTCAAACACATGCACATAAGAGGACGTGAGGCTTATATTACAAATATGACTGTAATTAAAAAAAAATGATTTATTAGCATTATATATGAGTTATTCCCATGCTGTAAGATATTATTCCTCTGCTAAACTTTATAATAGTAGCAATAGAATATCTAAGCTCCAAGTTTTCTTACTTTAACTATTTTTAGGCATTGTTTGAAGTTGAAATATATAATAAAACTACATTTATACTACTAATTTTACCTGCAATTAATACATAGATCGCGCATAACCGGTGGATCCGCTGGTATATTCGATAAGTCTTCCCAAGCCTGAAACTCCTCCATACTTAATTAAGCATTGTTTTTTTATATCTTTTATATGCTCTTTAACCTAAAGAAACGGTTTATTCATTGCAAATTTTGAGTAAATTTGGTGATAAACTTAACTTAATCAAAATAAAGGGACTGCAAGTGCAAATAGCAAATGTCAAATGCAACCAACATAGAGTAGAGAAATTATATGAACATATGAGTGAATCGAAGCATGTTGTTATAAAGAATAAACAAATGGATAAAAATATATGGCAGAATTGACAGAGTGCGTATTTCGCAAGAATCAAAAAGTATTGACTTTATAGAATGACGACCAACTAAACACATAAAAATAACTTAATATTAATCATGCGGAACTTGGTTTACAGTAAATGTACAACAAAATTATAATTTTATGTTTAACGCAAAGTCAGATAAAAGAGAGATAAAAACGGTGGTCAACAGCGTAAAAAATTACCAGAGTGAAAACAAAGTTAAAATTGTTGTTTTTTAATTTTAAACAGGGTTCTTCTAATACACTATAGTTTAAAAATATGAGGGTATAGATAATGTAATTGTAACAAAGTTGTATTTTGATAAAAACAGATGGAGTTAATGTCGACAGAACGTATATTGCTATTGCTTGCTTTGTTTTTGTTTGTTCTTTGTAAATGTATTGTCAGTACCGTTATATCAGACAAGATATATATTATTCTTAGAAAATTGGCTTATATATGGCTATTATTATGTACTTTATTCATAATATGCAGAGCTCATATTTTAAACGTTGCAAGCAATTTATGGTACACCAATGACGCCATTTTGCGCCGCAATTTTGAGCTATTATTATGATATAAGTCTCCTTCTTACATTTGAATTTCCCGTAAGCGTAAATGAATAAGCTGCAAATTCACTGGCTTTCTCCTGCTTGTACTTATTTTACATAGGATCGTAGATTTTATGCGAAAGATTTGTAAACATGGAGGCCGTGCTATGTAAAGTCTATGAAGAAGTGTTTCTATTGTAATCTGCTCATATTTTGTGAAAAAGGAATATCTAGAAGCGGTTAGTACTCATTATTTTTTATGCTAATCATAAGCAAAATAAGGAATATAAACTGTGTATTTTTCGTTATTTGTTTCGTGGGTAATGTAAACGTATGCATCTATTTGGCGCCAACGTTATAAAAACCGTTAAACATATTGTTTTTCTTTATAAGCCAATGAGTTAATCTGTTTTTTTACTTTATTATAAATCTTTATGCTTTAAGTCTGAACTCAGTTGGAAGCGACATTATGAAATAAAACTGGTCTTTCGAGTGTCGTCAGATCTGTCATCCGACAAATTGGTTTGAGGAGAAAACGCTCCTCTAAAACATCAAAAAACACTGCGTATTTGCTTAGTAGTAATAACTAAACGGATTATCCCTTTCAGGACAGTTGTTTATCTTGAAAATCTATCAAGTAATGGTTGAAATGACGAAGTTTACAACTTTACTATTGGAAACATCTTGACCAATCAACAAAGTGAGTATTTCGCATATTTAATTGTAATTACCTTTCTTTGCGCCTATTTCAATCATTATTTTGTTTGTATATTGCATTATTTTTAACACAAAATCATATTAATACTGATATTAAATATAACTTGTACAAGTTAAACACGAAATTAGATTCAAACTTATTGTACTATAAATTGTTCCAGAAATGGGCACAGAAGTGCCAAAAACTCATGACTCAAGTGGTGGTACTGATTCAAACAGTGATTCGGAGGTTAGTATGTTTTGTTACATTTAATATAACCACAACCTATTTATCTTACTACAACCTTGACGAAATACAAGGTAAAGGATTAAAAATTAATAAAATGAGATTTTGAAGTAATGTTTAGAAAAAGTATAACTAACCCTCATACCCATATTAGATAACAACAAAATTATTTATAATGTGTACAGAGAATTTTATGATATGATCATAACATGCATAAAGGACAGTTAATCCTAAACCCAAGTGGATTTTTGTAGTGTTGGAATGTTTATTTAAATAAGGTTTACCCAAAATTAAAAGTTATCCTTAATCATTTAAGCAAATGATTGAGGATTATTACTGTACTTATGTAGAACTAGATAGTTGTTGTTTTTGTGGGTATGTTTTTGATGAAGTATCATTCCATTCCTATTCAGCAGTGGGTTCATATGGTTGTTATAACATAATAAGTCAGACTTTTTGGTTTTATTAATGCATTGAACTTCTAACCATGTGTTTCTGACACCAAAATCTTTGAAAAAATTACATTGCATGTTTGACTATTTAATTTCAATGTTTAAAGGTTATTCATATGTGTTGATTTTCATTTGAAAATTATAATTAAATTAGTGGTGTAATGGTGTGCAAATCATTATTCTTATTTAACATGTTAAATTCTGTTACTATTTTTATGTATTAAAGGCAGAATGAAATGGTGGTGTTGATAACTTAGTAGTCTATCAAAAGTACTTAGCTATTAGAGTCATCATCATCATCAGCTCATAGTGAGCTGATGATGATGATGACGTCCCCACCAAGGGGCTTGGAACCTACCCTAAGTTAAGGGTGATTAGGCCATAGTCAACCACGCTGGCCAAGTGCGGGTTGGTTGATTTCACACATATCTTTGAATTTTTAATCAGATATGTGCAGGTTGCATAATTTTAGAGTAAATTTAAGAAATGGTTGCAATAAATTCTTAGCCAGCCTTTAATATTACAATTTAAAGGAAATACATTATTGTTACAATACATTATGTTGTAAGGACATATCTGTAGTTGTTTACAGTGATATTAATTTTTTTTTTTAAATAAGGTTTTGTTTTTTATTTACAGAACAGCAGCTCCAGTGACTCGTCAGGAAGTGATTGGGAATGTACCGGTTCAAAACAAGGCTCTACCCGCAAACCGCATTTTTCAGTCACATCATGTGACACCGGATTAAAACTCAAAATAGCCGCTATACCACCTCGTAAAGTCTCACCCAAAAAGACTTTACGACCTTTGGGCAAGAAGAAGTCAGAGGAAGAGTCAAAAACCACCAATACAAAGGAAAAAGATGTTAAAAAGAAAAAATCTCAATTATCCGATACAAGTTCGAGTTCAGAAGTATGTAGTAAATGCTCTAGTGATTCGTCCAGTGAGGATGATTTGCCGCTTAAGGCGGTCAAAAAAACATTACCAGCAAAGTGCTCACCTCAAAAGAGTGTAAAAAGTGGTAGGAACTCAGGTGTTAAGAGTGATAGTGATGGACATAGACATTCAAGTGATGATAAAGATGTTGCATCCAAAAAGGATGCTAAAGACAAATCAAGTGCATTCAAGAACAATAGTAATGTGAAAAAGACTAAAAGTGATGATGGTACTCAAGATACTACTGCAAAGCGAGGGCAGAGACAGAGGACCAAGGTAAGTTTTTTATGGGATTAGATATACTTTTATATTTTAAATGAACAGCAGAATCCATTCATCCATTTTTTAATTATATTTAAGGGAAATAATAAACATGTCTTGCTAAATGGATGTCAATCAAAGCTTTTTGTAGAAAAACATAAGACTCCTATATTTGTTAGTACATATTTACTTTAGTAAATGAAAACAATATATAGATAAATCAAAATAATTTTTTTATGAAGTAATTACATACAGTAATGCTTCTTTGGTTTTGCCTTTTACTAAGCAGTCGAACCTGTTTGCGAAAGTCCAAACAAACACAATATTGTTCTCGCTTATAGAGGTTTCTCTCTGAGTCGAATTTCTTGCTTATGGATGTTGTCCATCAGGACAATGACTCGCTTTCTTACTTATGCAGTTTTTGCTTCTTCAAGTCTGACTGTATTATAATAACAGTCGCTTACACTGTATTTATTGCCATCTTCAAATTTTCGTACTGCTATAATCTGATGGAAACATAAATGACTATTCTGCTCTCTTTAATGCCTTTTATGTCTAAGCTGCACTCTGCCCAAGCTGTTAGAAATCATGTTGGGCACTAAAACATGCCAATTTATTCAAATGCAACATGTCACTATTGAGTCATTATATCCAAATTTGTTATAAAGAATGTTAAATGAAAACCAAACTTTGCTGTGTGCTTTCTAATTACTTCATAATAAGGAGATGGCTAATATAAGTGGATTCAAAAGGGATTCTACTGTATATCACAAAATGCTAAACCGAAATAAAACAGCTTCATTTAATCCGCAGAACTGCTAATGAAAAGCTTTATTATTGTATATGGTTTTATGTATTAACAAGATTTATCAATGTCCTACTCCTGGTGCATGATATGGATAAAACACTTATTCTTGATATGTCAAATCAAACACTTGATATTATTTGCTTTGTTTTTTTGGCTGCTCAAAGTCAGTTGTGCAGTACGCTCCTATGATATTTTTTTATGCGCCACCATACCTAAATATGTGTTCTGTTTAGACACTCATGTGGTGTTTCGAGCTGCTAAGGTGTTTGATTTCCCTTATACATCCTGCCTGTACATTTGGTATGACAATACTTTTAGGTATATCTATAGCAAGGGTGATATTTACTTAAACAGAACTAAACACAAATAGAACTATAAAATCCAAGTGTTTCTACAACATTGGTAGGTATAAAATGAGTCATATGAACTACGTTTTAAAATTTCCCCTAAACTCTTGAATTGTTAAATCTATATTTATAACACGATACAAGGGGTTGGGTTTCTACGCGTTACTTTTTTTCGTAAAGCGAAAATAAGGTATTCAAGGCGTAATAGTTATCTACGTACTACACATATTATGACGTAGTTAAGGATTCCCTTTTTAGTTAAATAGTTTTTGAGTGTTTTAATAGCATAATGTTTTTATTACGAGTTATGTCAATGGACCACTTTTTTTTTAACGTGGGGAAAATGCGTTACGCATACCACCGCGCCCTAGAGGGGAAAGGCGTGATGGTTATGTCAAACTCTCTCCCGGTTAAGCCGGAAGCCTACCGACTAAAAACCCCACGGTTTCCTCGCGTCACCAGTTACCGGAGCATGGGCACACGTGACGTATTCTTCGCACGCCCCGGTTGGTGAATGGCTGACAGCTCCGCTGGTGTTGCTCCTCGCGCGCGCCAGGAAACCTGCGCTAGTTCCTCCTTTACTCAGAGTGACGGGCTTTCCCCCTTAGCCAGCCACTCGAGTATTGTTAAGGTGGGAGGGCTCGGAC